GCACGTCAAATGATTGGATCAACGCAGATCGGATACTCATGGGCCCTCTTTACAACTATGTGCTAATCTGGGTGGATGGATCTTGCCTGGACGCTACCTTTAACCACTACCCTACACCGCACCATTGCTCTTGGCGCTCCGAACGTATTTCAGTGGGCTGCCAAAACCCGCACAATCCTTTATAACATCTTTGAAGCGGTTAGCAGAAACGGAAGTCAGATTTGGAATCACCGTTCCAAGACGAGTGTAATGGTATACAACTCATCTCAAAAGGTCACGGACACCGAGTATCGTTTCCTTGTAAGTATAAGTAAGTATTAGGTTGCAAAGGTCTTCCAAGCTTTTCCGCATCTCCCTTAGCTCCTACAGTTTGAATTAGTTTGTTTCAATTAATTGGTCTTTGGAGGTAGAATTATATGAATTCCAAAAGCATTCGAAGCACAAATGATTGTGGCCTGTAGCGGCTATACAAACTGATAAAGGTGAAATATTCAAGGTTTATTTTTCACTTGATTTCAAAGGTTCAGCGAGAAAACTCTCTTTTTGATCTATGATCCATGATGAAATAAAGAATATTTGTCGCATGTTATTCGCAAGCTCCGAAATTCTTCTTATAGATTTGTTCGTATTTATATCAGGTCGGTCCGAAATCTGCCGTTTCGTTTGAAAAAAAAATTGTGCTCGCTATCTGACCAGATTTGCTCTGATGTAAATTTGTTAGGAAGAAGAAGCCTTCCATTTACTAAGAATGTCTTAGCGAGGTGGTGAAGAAGATCATTCAAGCTTCGATCCTTTCAAGTTAGGCCGCCAAAAATCTGAACGTTGCAGAAAAATCCGAAATTGTGAGTACGTTTCATAACCTGTAAAAAATTGTGCCAGTTGGACTTCTCTATGGAATATAGTGATATTTAAGTTTACAAGAAAAAATTTTATCTGTTACTTTTCCCAAGAATCGCAACTTTTCATGGAAATATCCGATCAGCTCACATTTTACAGTTGGAAAGATTAGTGGTAAAACTTATGTAATGACGGCGGATTCTTTTGCAGCGTTGCTCTTGACGGTTTAGCGCGAAATGATCGAAGTTTGAATAATCCTCTTTATCCATTATCTTCGCAACCGGTGTTCGGGAGAAACTCGCTAGTTTGAATAATCCTCTTTATCCAATTTTATCTTCGCAACCGGTGTTCGGGAGAAACTCGCTAAGACAATACTAGAAAGTAGAAGGTTTTTCTTTGTAAAGGTTTACAGTAAGCAAATCTGTTCATATACAGAGAACATTTTATGGTTTTTTTGAAAATGAAAAGACAGAACTTTCGGATCTATGTAAAAGAGGAGTATGGTACAAATTTAGACGCTCTTTATGCATTTTCGGCGAATTAGAATTATTGGCGTAAACCTTCTACTAATGAATCCATATAACTTAAGTTCAGGCTTCAGAAGGTTTTGCCGTTCTTCCCGGTCAAATGAACACAAAATCTCGCCGAAAAGCAACTAAGAAGAGACTTAGGATACTGTAGTGGAACACACTTTTCCTTCTTATATGTTCTCATAAGTTCAAAAGAAAATCTTCGATCAGTTTTTAATAGCTTGCAGTGTCATTTATAAATTTGGTAAAGATTTCTCGAAACAACGATTTTATCACTCATACATAAATTTTCGCAAAAAACAGTGAAAAAACTTCGGCTGAAGAAATTGCTAGGCAGTTTCTAGAGTTATGAGTCCTCTTAGTAAATTTACAATGGTGAATTCATCGTGAAAAATCTTTCGATGGTATTCGAGTATAGAAAAAAATCTAAAACGTGGAAAACGTGCAGATTTTGCATAATCTATAGAGTACTGTCTATAGCCAAGAAATACTGTTCAGTAAAGTTTTTTATAGAGTCAACCTCGGAAACTGCTCAAAATACGCTCAAACGAGCAATTCCCTTTTTATATGTAATACTAGGCCATTTGAAAAAATTTTTCGTTTTTGCACCCAAAAATGTGAAGAATCATAACTTTATTCACAACCAACCAGCCTTTCACTCAAAGTAAGCACCACTGTGTTCAACAGATTTCTGCCAACATACCACCAGTGCGCGTATTCCTTTTTTGAAGAAAGCGGTATCCAGAAAGACGAATAATTTTTGAAAGAGTTCTAACAACCTTCTCATCATCAAAGCCTTCAGGAACGATTCAATGGATCTGAAGGAAGCGGTACCGTAGGCGAAAGAGCCGGGGAGTAGGGCGGATGAGACACCTTCGCCATAGTGGTTTTACGCTATTGTGGAGAAGACGCCTTTCCAATTTATTAGGTCTCTGAACCTGCAGCTTTCAATGTACCATCTCCAGATCCCTATTGTATGGACAACTCCGCCGTTATGGTACAGTTAGGTTTTAGGAAGCTGTAGTGCAATAGGCCTGCGCCATTCCACCAAACCGAATTCATAAACTTCTCAAAGCGTTTGTCTGCTTTTGGCCAAGTTTTTGGTGGCTCATTCGCAATCAACCACTGTGGCGATCTCTTCTTGTTGTCTGGATGCTGCGGTGGTGCCTTATGTCCAAGCCTAAACTCATAAAGTGCGCTGAGTCGAAAATCTCGCCTCTCCATGCCTTCTTTGACTGAGTAGAAAGTTCCACAGACGGCGATTGATGAAGGGTATTGGTATCGACAGGATATAGAGATCACACACTAAATGATGATAAACTTGTCACTTCTGACACATTTGACCAAGTTATGAAAATGTGGCACAAATTCGAGATCTCGAAAAGCGAAAAACCTTTCCCAATGACCGAGAGAATCTACCAGTTTTTTTTTCATTTTGAGAATAACATGGAATGGCGTAGAACTTCAGAGTGAGCTGGCAATCGAATATTTTGGTATTTTACTCTCTAGTGGATTAGATATATGAGCAAATTGTTCCACAATCTATCAAAATGTGACGGAAAAACCTTTTTGAGGAACACATTGACCACAATGTGATAACACTGCCTTCATTCGCGTGTTGATAAGCTTTCATGTTATTTTCTCTCGCACTTGTGTCTAACCAATTAGCAAAACAATAATGAGTCGTTAATAGGATAACAAATCTATTCGGCGATAGTAATTATAATTTACAGTTAATTAGAAAAATTGTCACTTTTCTACTAAAAAGAGCGGAAATGCGTTAATGTTCTAATTAATAAGATTTCATAACAGCTTTGTTTATCAGAGGTAAAATAAGTAAATGGAAAAATCATAAGCGGCAAAATAAGTGAATGGGGACTTATGATGCATGATAGCGTACAAGCAGTAAGTGTTTTTATGTTTGCAAACAGTTTCACTGGAGTTTCCTCCCTCCATTTTCTTGCTATACATGTCAGTTTTGATATTTCTCTTATGTATAAAATAAATCTTGGAATGACTCTCATCCATAAACTTGAATTTTTTGACCAGATTCTGTCGATGAGATGAGTCGTTGCAATATCTATAGTTCTAATATTTCTCATGGGTATCAATTTTTGATTTTTCTTCTATCAGAGTTTCTTGATGTTTGTGTGAACACTAAACTGCTCTAATCAAGGTTGAATTATTTAGTCATTGAACTTATGTAACACCGATGTTCTGGTTCCTCCGTTTTTATTTTTTCATATTTTTTACAAAACCAGCAGAGAGCTATGAAAATAGAGCAACAGTGGGTGTATGTCAAGAAGCGCGATTTTTGTTGCCAGCTGGACACCAAATAGCAAATAATAAGTGTTTTGCAACTTTCTAAAATTATATGAAATTTGGAAGAAGATATATTAGGTAGTTGCATGAGTTGTTCAATCTTGATGCTCTAGAACAAATTTAAAAGAGCAATTTTGAAGGTCAAAAACTCATGAAAATGCAATTCACAACAAATTCGCAAATATTTCAGTCCGATTTATAGCAAAAACCATGAAACTCAGCAAATGGTGACCTCAGACGGATAGTAAGCTACTGCACTTTATCCGGTAATTTTTGAAAACTCGCATAACACTCAACTGGAGTTTTAAGTTGGTGACAGCCAGAGAAATCGCGCCTCTTGACCATCTCCCGCAACAGTTACGTATTGCTCATCAAATTTCCAAAATTTTCATAAGGGCCTCTAGTAATTTGTTATATCGTGAGTCTAAAATTTTGATGATATTCCATGTAGAAAGATGGCTTCAATTTGGAGTACAAAATTTTTAGTGGTCAGATTTCATCAAGGTCTTTTTGAAAATATCTGCAGCTTTGACACTCGTAAACTATCAAAAAGCGTACCCTTGCCATGTTTTCGAAATTGATATTATTAGTGCTGCATAGTATTCGTCAACAAGTGTACATAGAATTATTGCGCAGTAGCCTCATGAACGAGAAAAAAAGTTAAAAATCAAAAAAAGCTTTTCACTCCAAACTTATTTGCAAAAATATTTGACTAGATGACTATCTGGAAGCATTCATAAAAAAGACAGTGATCTAAACAAGAATATCCAAGCTTTTGAATTCGTTTATTTCGGAGAAAAATGGGGAAAATAAACGAAAGAAATTCTGGGTAGTGAGCTGATGAGTTAAAAGATATAGCACACTATCAATACTATTGTATTGTTATATTTTCAACAAGTGTGTATATTTATGAGATAAAAATTATTGAACATAAGTCTCGAGAATGTGAAAGAAAGGCCAAATTGAAAATTTCTTTACTCCATATGATTTTGCAAAACTTCTTGCCCAGATGACTACATACAAGCGTTTAACATAAAAGACAATGATCTAAAACATGATTACAGCGGAAGAGACATTGTGCAAGAGACTGATGTTATTGCATTGGTTGTGTGGTAAGACGGGGTGCTAATCGCCACATATAGGAATAGTAATTAAAAAAGCTTGTTATGGACGCTAATCAGCGAAAACAGCGCTCATCTACTGGGCAAAAATGCTAATTACGAGGTGGAGATTGAGGGATTTCCAGTGTCGTTAAGCGACGGCACTCACATAGAGACAGAGACACATATGTACGTATAATCAACTACTTACCTTTAATAGATGAGGGTAGTGACAACTTGGGGGCGGCACAATGGTTTGCTGGAAAGGAAATTGCTCAAAACAGTCATCCACGAAGAAGCAAATACCAAAAAATGCTCAAAAAACAAGAAAATTGGAGGTGAAAGCACACGAAAAATAATGCAAGAAACGTCGGCAAGCAGCTCATTTGGCAATAATAGCCGGGCAGATTTCCATGGCGCCAAATGAATGCATCGAAAATGCATATATTAACATGACAGGTTGCCTCTAATTTCCACTACCTAGCCCCGAACAATCTAGACATTCGGCCACAGCGTCAAAGATACTGGTTGTAGACAAAAATTAGATTCCAGGCCTTTATTTCATCTCCGATAGGAGTAAAATTCGAATCTGAACGTCTTTTCGTCAGGTAAATTCTAGATCTCGTGCAAGAAAATTCCACTGAAATCCTGATTAATAGTTTTCTGAGGTAAAAATTCAAGCCAATGACTCTATTAAAAAAATTTCAATATGAAAGAGTTACAGGACATAACGGAAAACAAAATGATATATCAGTGAGTAAGAAACTCACAACTTGTCAGTCTGCACACTTTGTCTAAACAGGCTCAAACTTGTTCTTCCTTGTTTCCAAGCAGCAAAATTTCTGATCACAAGTATAAGCTTGTTTCCACACATCCAACTTGTTCAAACATGTGCAAAGCGCACTTAATTTTCCTGACTGGGGTTGAGCGTGGGGTCGGGCGCGCCCACCTGGGGGATCGTATTGAGGGTAAGACTGAGGGGGGGGGGTCGTAATTGAGAATCGAATTTGTTAAGTTGGGGAGATACTGCGAGGGGGGTGAGGAACTTACATACACCGATAAAGTTGCCGCCGCTTAGTAGCGGAGTTCATGAGAGGTCATGAACTGTCAGCAACGCTAATTTGCGCTCAATTTGCACCGAAGATGAGCTGATTCTGCTCACCGTAACTCCGTCATCATCCTGCAGCCTATGAAACGGAATTTCTTTGAAATTTGAATTCAAAGTTCAGCACTGAAATCAGTCCAATTAGGGCAATAACTTGTATTTAGGGGTATTCTATCAAGCTGATTCCGAATATATTACTCGTTTTGCTTGAAACCTAGGATTCTTTCTTTTTTGGATTGAAACTTGTTTTCACAAATAAAAATTTCAAATTCTATGTAAGGGTTTTCTGACATGCTGTTTCCAAAAAAGCTGATGGTTTTGCATGAAACGTCGAAATTTTTCCATTTTGAATTTCAAACTTTTTTCGGATTTGGTGATAACAGCTACAGGCATGCCCTGAGAATCTGACGATAACAGAAGGCCATTCGGATTCGTTTTATTTTCTCCATAACAGAATTTTTTCCGTTTGTTTTCCAGGTTTATCAAATTTGCAGTGAAATTTCCGAAAAAGAGCTCAAAATTCAAAATAGAAAATTTCTGAGGTTTCAAGCAAAACTATCAGCTTTTTCGAAAACAGCATGTCAGAAAACCCTTGCACATAGAATTTTTGAAATTTAAAAAGTTTCAACTCGAAAAAGAAAAAAAATCTTAGGTTTCAAGCAAAATGATTAACATACTCGGAATCTGCGTGTTAGAATACCCCCAAATACAAATTATTGTCCAATTTGGACTGATTTTACTACTGAACTTGGAATTCAAATTTCAAAGAAATTCCGGTTTCATAAACTGCAGGATGATGACGGAGTTACCATGAGCAGAATCTGCTCATCTTCGGTGCAAATTGAGTGCAAATTAGCGTTGCTGACAGTTTATGACCTCTCATGAACTCCGCTAGCTAGGCGGCGGCAACCTTATCAGTGTACTAGCTGGCTTACCCGGCTCCGCCGTATCGGGACCAAACTTGGCACACATACACTTCGGGCCCCGGCGGGTGTCACAGTCCACTTTTCGTTATCGATCGATGTCGATTTTACCGATTTTTATCGATTTTTTTGCAGAGTTCACCTACAGGGCTAGGAGTTGGCACAGGGGGAAGTGAGCATGGGGATTCCGAATACAATATTAGTTTTCAGAATTATCGATTACTTTTATTGATTTTATCGATTTTTTGTAAGTTTTGACATGCGAGGCTGGGATTTTGCACAGGGGATAATCGAGCATGCAGATTACGAATACAATATTAGTTTTCAAGATCGTCCATTACTTTTATCGATTTTATCGATTTTTTGAAAATTTGAGCTAGGGGGCTGGAATTTGGCACAGGGGTGTAATCGAGCATGCTGATCACCCCCCTTGGGTATGATCAGCATGCTCGATTACCCCCCTGTGCCAACTCCCAGCCCCCTAGCTCAAACTTTGCAAAAAAATAGATAAAATCGATAAAAGTAATCGATAATCCCGAAAACCAATATTGTATTCGGAATCCCCATGCTCGATTACCCCCCTGTGCCAACTCTCAGCCCCGTAGCTCAAACTTTGCAAAAAAATCGATAAAATCGATAAAAGTAATCGATAATCCTGAAAACCAATATTGTATTCGGAATCCCCATGCTCGATTACCCCCCTGTGCCAACTCCCAGCCTCGTAGGTGAACTCAGCAAAAAAATCGATAAAAATCGGTAAAATCGACATCGATCGATAACGAAAAGTGGACTGTGACACCCGCCGGGGCCCGAAGTGTATGTGTGCCAAGTTTGGTCCGGATCGGTTCAGAAATGGAATTTTCTATTCGGAACATACGTACAGACATACATACAGACAGACAGACAGACAGACATACATACATACAGACAGACATTCAGCTTTATATATAAGATGTAAGTTCCGTTCCCCCTATAGGCACGTATAGTCAAAGATATTTATATGAAGTTGTACAACAAAGTAACAAAACGCGCAGCTAAACTGCCCAGAAATATTACGGAAAATTCAATGATGTTGATAGCACGTGACTAAATGAGGATAAGCCGCACAGTCGATAACCGAGTTCAGTAGATCAGTAGATCGCGGAAGCGATTCGGCATTACCGTAATTGAATTCTGTGAAAACCTTGAACAGTTTGTCATGCTAGAAATTAAACGATTCTAAAACAAGGCGTAGATTTCAACAGTGCTAATCCTATAAATTATAATGATTCAGAGTTAAATTCCATCTTTTTAGAAATTCTCTATTAAGCGGTTTATAACTAGTCCGTTGGGATTGTGGACTAAGAACAAATGCTAATTTGAACATTGATTCACATCGAATCATGTTTCAAGCATGGGACTTCTGGATTTCCGCAATATATTAGACTCTAAGTTTCATCTTTCATGCTATACCATTGTCCACATCCTGTACAACATTCTTCTGCCACTTTACAGATGTGAGACGTCTATCAATCATTTCGTCTCATCGATCAACCAGCGAGTAGACAATATATGTACATTGGGTAGTTTTTTGTAATCATGATGAAACATTGACAAGGTCTTTTAGGCCGGCAGCAGATTTTCATGGTATTTGTTTGTTCATTATTTACTGTATGTACTGCTTTTATTTGAAATGTAAAAAAAAACTGGCATGGCACATTCTTGAAATTTTAAAAACGTCTGTAATACTAAACTTTGTATATAACAATGGGTTGAACTACGAACTCTGACATTATCATTGTGTAAATGATATTTTGAGTCCGACTATAGGATGGTGTATATTGATTAATGTTGAACTAATAATTTCAGAAAAGAATGATTATCGACCATATCCATGTTCATTCTCCTGTGGAAGTGATGACTAAGCGTTTTCTCGATGAGAGATGCTGTAGCAAAAAGGACATCAGAAGAGAGGTTTTGCCCAAACAAACCCATTCCCTGCTTACCAATGCTATTCAGATATTTGTAGCGTCTCTTCCATATCTAGCCATTTGTGCGGCATTAAGTCTCTATGTCATGTTTGGTGCTTTCGTATTCTCGGCTATAGATGATTTTATGGATAAGGACAATTTCATCAGCAAGTGCTTCTTTATCTTCACAACATTGACAACAATAGGTTAGTTTGGATTCTCCAGAGTTTTCCGTGTCAACGCCGTTTCAACTCCCTGCAGAAGTTCCAGCGCCGCGCCAGCGTCGTACCCACGCCATGTCGGAACCCGCATGGACGCGCTTAGTGTTGATCGAAGATTTCGTCACGGCGCTAGCACGGCGCTGGAACGGTGTTGGCATAGGTAACAACTCTAAACGCTGCTTAAAAGTTCATAGCTGTGAATTCATTTTCGCTTACAGGTTACGGCGATTTGGCACCTAAAAATGCCCTCAGCAAAACTTTCTGCTTGATTTATGTTGGAGTTGGTGTTCCGCTGCTATTGCTGGCTTTGGCAAATTTTGGACAATTATTTGCTGAATTTTTCTGGACCTGCATGATGAGCATAAAATCAGACATCGTCAGTTCTCGTACTGTACAATACCGCTCACAGAATGTGCAAGAATTTCAGGAATGTTGCGTGTTGCGGAGTTCCGGAAAATCCGCGACATTCCCGGAGTTACGCGAAATTCCCCGAATTCCGCGACATTCACGGAAATTTTGCACAATTTTGAGAGGTATTGTACTACTCTGTCTGGTAAATTTTCCCATTATTTACAGCATGTCGATCCCGAATCACGGCGTAAACTACCCATAGCTGTGGTTATCGCACTTCTCTTGATACATACCATGTTTGGAGCTGTAATCTTCAGCTTCTGGCTGCATAAACTTCCTTTTGTCACTGCTATCTATTTCAGGTATTAGTGTCCAAACTGTCAAAAATCACTACATTTTATCCATTACAGCTTTGTCTCAATAACAACCATAGGTTTTGGTGATGTCATTGTCAATCCGAGAAACAATCTCGGCACTGCTGTATTGATAGCCTACCTAATAAGTGGAATCATCATCATGTCAATGTTCATCACTTCCATAGTTCATTACTTGCATTTTATCTATTATCTGGGCAGGTAGGAGATGAAATTGGAACGATGAATAAAGATTTCCAGGTAGTATTATAGAAAACCCACTACTTTTCGACAAAATCTGATCTGGTTCGGAGGGGAGAAGATCACGGTTCAAGAATTTGTGAAGCTCGCAGCATCAAGTTTCGAAGTACACATGATCACAAGCGCAAGGAAAATTTCCAAAACAAAAAATATCAGGTCCCTCCACGACAGCTTCGGAATACGATAAAAAACCTGGACAACATTATTGCACTGGCGCTAGACGACCAACTGCGAAAAAGGAGTAAAATAATGTTTGATAGCGGCACATTTCTGCTTGACAAGACAAATGAAAAAAGGAAATTAAAAGTAAGAGAATATTGTTTACTCATGTCAGAGAGAAACATGATTATGATATATTTAGCACTCTTTGATAGCGACATCTAGTCTCAGCCGATTAGCTCTACAACGTCATGAAAAGGTAAGCCTCTGACGATCTGATATTGACTCTAGTTGACTAAGTAATGAGTTTATTTTAGGATATCAAAGCACTCAAAGTGATCCACAATCACGTCAATAGCTCCAAGTAATTACGAAACACACCTTTTGATCAGCAAAATGAAATGTTATATTTTCATTTATTTAAACATCACCTATGAAGATCTTTATCATTGAATAAAATTTAGACTATTTAGTCGACTCCAAATTGCTGCTTTGAAAAAGTATTATTAGGTTGTCCCATAAATGTTTTCATACCTGAATTTCCAGCGACATAAATCAGTTCTTTTTAAACCTCTAATAGAATGCGGGGTACCATTCGAAAGAACAAAACAAGCTCTACAAGATTGCGTTCAAAAGATCGCATCAAGCTCAATCCGCAACAAATTTCAAGCCAAAATAAAAAAATTTCCGTTTCCAAAAAAACGAAAATCATCATATCTCACTTCAAAACAACTCTGCAAATTCCCCACTTCCTCATGCATATTATCCACATCAGATATTTAGAAATGCACCTGCTGCATTTTTCTGATGGCTAAAAACCAAGAAAAAATTAATGCGCTCAATTTTCAAACTTTGCCTGTATCAATTCTGTGTTCCCCGCAAATAGGTGATGATTATATAGCTTACTCACTCAGAATTACTGCCACAAATTTGCAGTCTACTAGGTGCTTTAGTTCTCGAGAAATATCGAGTTGTAGGTCCGAATATGAAAAGACTTATGGGACAACCCAATTATCCCATTGTTTGCATGCTAGTGAGCTTGTAGGCAAAAGCTCGCTGCTGACTTGACCCCAGTTGAAAGATTTTTTTTTTCTAAAAAACAGCAGGGTCAAGACCATAGAAAAAAGACTAACCATATGTAGAATTTTATGTGTATAGTAAGAAAAAATGGATTAAAAGAACTATATACAAAAAGGCTAAATAATTATTTAGATACATTGAGATAGTTGCCTGGAGATCTAATGATAAGATCAAATGGAATATGGATTTTGGTTCAAAATGTCTGCATTCAGTATCGGGTTGTGACGGTGCTGACTGGATTGTTCTTGCGTCGTTGTGTAAGCATGCTTTTAGTAAAATCCTTCAGATTTCAAAGTCTCTTGAACAGCTCTGTTGAATACAAATGTTAATGTAACCTCGGTCACTCTTGGATAGTTCTTTCCATGTTTTGATTATGCATATCGAGAAAAAAATGCTGTTCATCACTTGATAAGTATGTCAATAAATGTAATCGAGCAACGATCATTTTTACACTTTGATTCTTCAATTATGGTATGTGTTCTCTGTCATGTGCTACCCGATGATCTTTTACGCGTGATCCCAGATGATTTGCGCATCTCCTCAAAAGAACCTGATCGCTTTCTTGGCGCGAGAGTGTCCTTGCGAGACGCAAGCAGTGAATGGACGCTGTTGCGTCAAAATATCGTCTTTAGAAGAGATGGCAGACGGTAAAGGAAATGAATGTGCTTTACCAAGGAGAGCCAACAGCTTCCGCAAATGCGTCTAGTCTCTGCGTGAAGCGATTTGACTAAACTTGTGGCTTCCACTTGTAATCATGAGTCACAGTATTCCAAAATGAAGTGTCAATCAGTTAGAATGGAAGCGGTCAGACGAGTGAGAATGTGGCGCCTCCTCGATGTGAGTAGCTCTATGTTCTTGTAATTGGTCGCGCCTATTGTAAAGTCACCTGCACGAAATCGCTCGGGTTGCTGTAGGCTGAACGCACGAGAGCGTGCCCGCAACGCGGCTATCGAGTACTGGCGCTATGATGACTCATGCGCGCGAATGCCTATGTTAGTGCGCAAGAGCCAAGCTCGCGGGTGCTCAGCCCGGGCGATTCTGCAGTCAACTATATTCGCGCCCGGACCACACTAGCTGGGAATGCGGTCAAGCTGAAGGCTATATATAGCCGTGCTGATAGCTCATGGTTCTTTGACTTCTTTCTTCGATGCGATGCTGTTTTGCTCAGTGACGTCTCAGCAAACTTTCGCAGAATAGATTCTAAGTGGATATGCGATAGGTATTCTAGTCGAGGTACAACAAGATTTGCTAGTTGTAGCTGGATAGCAACGACGGGATTGGTAGATTGGCCTCCGGCTGATTCTGGTGGCAAACCCAGGACTCCCAAATGTGGAGTAAGCTTAGCCATCGGCAGCAAGGGACGAAACGGTTCGTCCCGTGTCTTATCTTTATGTTAGAAAGTTAAATGAGTATTTCGCGTATTTTAGGCCTTGATAACCTATCGCTCAGACTGTAATAAGGATTGAATGCGAAGGTAATCCTTACAAGCGGGAGCTTCGGAGGGTTCCAAACAGATGCACCATTTTTCCGAGCCAGGAATTTGTATGGCAGAGCTTAGCTTATGCCAGGGGTGTGAGCATCATGTACAGAACAAATGCCTTTAAATCGGGTACAATTTAGAAATGCAAAGAGAATCTTGTCGGTTTCACTGACCGTTTCTCAAATCGCCTCTAAAATGTCACTTTATCAGTGTACGGAATGATAACAAAAGTTCATCCATACTAACTTATTACCGAGCTCATGTTGAATAAAGTCAGAGTGCGATTGATAATGGTATTGCAGTTCTAGAGGAAAGTTTCATAGAGGTGAAGAAGAAAGTAAAGCAGACCACTTGAGTGATGTGACAGTGGTGGAGCTCATAGAAATAGAAACAATTTTGACAAAAAAACTTTTCTAGGAGCAAGAAGCCAAACTCGGAACGGCAGAACTCGCGGCGCGTCGGCAAGGCTTGTGAGTTGAAGGGGACGAAAGCGCTCATAAATGAACTGTAGATGAGTGTTTCAGCTTATTTTTAGTAGCTGCCATCTTCAGCGGCGTATTCGCCCTAGTAAATTTTATGTTTGCCTTCTACAATCTGTCCCGGATAGCAATCGGAGTAAGTTCTCAGACTGGAATCGTAGTTCGAAATGTGAACATTGTTTCAGCTTGCACGAAGGTTGAAAGGGATGACGACGAAGATCAACCTTGCCGAAAAAGCACTGAAAGAACGGCAATTACCATCCAACCTTATGCGTAGGAGCATTTAGCGGCAAAAAATACACGAATTTTATACAAAACATTTTTAGCGAAACTACAGGACGCCGACAATAACAAGAATGCTTAGCAGAACTATTTCGATAATTCGAGTCAATGTTGACAACATACAAACTTTACAAATCAAAATATTGTTATGAAGCAAATAAAGTATTAAGTAGAGCATTTTGAAAGTAAAGTGAAGACTGAGAAATGGACAATCTTGTTGTTGTAAACTGCGAGGGAATAAAACACCAGATATTGCGATATTCTAATCATCTATTGGTCAACTTGAACAACACAGTATTCACGCGATGGGTTCCTTATCGCCCGTTTGAAAACAGTGCAATCCCGGTTGCACAGCATGCCTTCCCTGCCGAGAAAATTGCTCTCAAACTTATATGCGCGCAGACTAATCTTACACGCATCTGGACGAGTTGGCAGATTCCTTCTCACCAGAATATTCAAAGTTGCTCCATATGTAGGCCACGGCAGGGCGCACACGACATCAAGACCGCTGCCGCAAATACACGAATAGCTAGCAAGTTTACGACAACTGTATAAGAACACTCTATAAGAACACTCAAAATTGTCTTTTCTCTGATTTTTTCCTTTGCGCAAATTGTGTTTTTCTCTCCCATAATTTTTTGGAGCATATTTTCGCATTGTCTCTTTTATGGCAGCACTTTGGTGCCGCTAGCACGCCAAAAACAAGGATGAAAACAAGTCAAGAAAATCAAAAAATTAGTCGAAAATTTTTCTTTTCGTGTGCATCGTGTAAGATTTGATAAGTAAAAATTGAAAGTAATTTTTGTGAATTTTTAAAAATTGTTCTTCATGTTGAAAAGCGAATGTGCGCTGACATGACGCAACACGTAGCTCATGTGATCGTGTGCGGACATGATTGTGCCATCCCCCTACATTCGCTAAAAACTATGGACCATACCCTGCCCAAATACCACGTCGCCTCTCCCTGATCACCTGGAAGAATGCCAGCCCGCTGACAAAAATGTCCATAAAAGTACTCATACCGATAAAGTGGGTGTTTTGCATGGGGACCGCGGATCTGACAGTGCCGGCGGGTAGACCTTTGCATCCCGTCAACACTCCTTGAACATAAGAATTTTCGGATGTTTCTTAGATTTTTAGACAATAAAAATAAAAGTGTAACAGAAATTATCCGCCAACTTAACATAACTTTTTCCCTGGATTTGCAAACCAAAGTATTTTTACATGTCTGTCAATCGAAAAATAAAGAAATTACACCTAACCAAATCAATTTTTCAACAATAAATCTCTTCTAATTAGTTTCATAAGTCTTGCAATAACCAAAATTTTTTACTCTTAAGGAAGTTGAGAGAATAAATTGGATGCAAATATAATAAAACTGTGCAAGTGTTTTTGCTTGTTGATAAAAATGGTTTTTTGGCTTTTCTCCAAATCTCAAGCTAGCCTTTTGAAGAAGAAGGTAATTTTCGGGCATGTGAATCAACTCCTTTTCCCAGAATTTCATGATAAGAAGCCCAAAAGAGCGAAAATCATACCAGAAAATTTCTAGAAGTGCATGCTTAAAGTTACGTTTCTTCGTGCAAAAAAATCCGTCCCCCCCTCCTCCCCCATTGCAAGAAAATCTCTCCGACTGCCACACTCAGATCTAAGTGACAGCCTAGAAGGTCTGCTCTCCCATTTATGTGCTACGAAAATTCCAATGAAGATTTATCATTACTGCACTCCTGCTTAAAGTAAACCAGTACGAAACTTTTGATAGTTCTTCATCTATTTCATCTTCCTCGTCAAAGCAAGGAAGGAATTCCGTGTATCTCGAGCCGGCTAGAAGAGGTTTCTCCATGTGACCATAGTTTCGAGACTTGCCGTCTGTAAAAACTAATATTAATTTTGGTGTTATGAATCCAAAAAAGGTGTTGAAATATAACAGACATGCTGTGGTCTCTACTAGTAGCATGAAAAGCAGCAGAATTATTGCCATCTGCACCGTCGACGCTGTTAAAAAACTAGTCTTTCTATAAACCTTTACGACCTCAGAGGCAGCGTCTGGGCAGCTATGACGATAACGGTAAAAATGGTGCTCATCCTAATAAAGTTTTTGTGCAAGTGGCATTGTTCCCTCTGACCCACAACGATTCTGCATCTTATCCTTGACGGCAGACGTCCAAATTCAAATTCAAGGGCTTTTGTAAGCCCGTTTTCGATATTTTCGTACTTTGCAACCTGCATTTTGGAAATCGTCCGGAAAGACAAACCCAAAAATGCGAAAAACTTTTGTTCGGAGTTTTGCACAAACTCTGCCTTTGCATCACTACAGTTGCCCTGTTATGATTATCGTAAGCATGAGAGTAGCAAAAGAGCCAAGTATTCATATACTAAACATACTTCCTGTACTTTTGCAGTACTTCGCGAGCTACTTGGTATATGTTCTCAGATCGTCCACATGTGTTGGAGGTTGCATCACTCCGTTACGGTATCCGCTATCCTCGCCAGAAGCTGTACATGGTTTCGGTTTATGTTTGGCCGATGACCAGAAATGCTATGTAGGCTAACGTGCGTTTACGTTGTAGGGCGTAGTTGTCGCTTTCGTGGAGTATCTGTTGATGTGCAAGTACGCTAGCCCAACAGATTTATTGAGTCAGACTACTTAAGGGCCGAGCATACTTCACGCGATTTCAGTCGCGACGCGATTTGGCAATTCGCCAGAAGTCTTCGGATCCAACATTAGCAAACTGCACATGCATAGTGTGTATAACTTACGTAAACTGATGAAATGCCCTATCTTATGTACATTTATAATGTGCTTACAATGAGTTACGGACACCTGGAATATTGCCAAATCGCGTCGCGATCGAAATCGCTTGAAGTATGCCCGGCCCTTTACCCGCGTTGGAGCATCAAGAATGGCGTGGTTGATAGGCGTGAGAGAATAAGTTGACGCACATCTGGTGACCTTAAATAGTTATATTACAACAGGTAATGCTTAGTAGTATAAGATTTGGGAGGAGTGTCATATTATTTGCACATTTAGTGTAAGCTCAAAGATCAGTGGAGCCTCTGAATGGCACTACACCGTCTCACAAAGATTCTCGTATCGCATCTAGCCTCTTACTTCAAAATGAGAAGACCCGCACCAATGAGGAACATCAAACGGGGGTGGTGCAGGAGGAACCAAAGGGCTGCTGCCTGTATCCGCAGGAGATGATTGAGAGCGCGAGCGCTGTGAAGAATATTATGGCAAGGATCCAAGAAAACTTGGCAAGGATATCCCTTAAGAACAAATCTTCATAACTTTGCCTGGAGTTGGCTTTAGAAAATTTGAAAAACAGACTTGTAATGCAAATTGGAAGGCGCATTCACTTTATCCAAAATCAAGTAAAGCGGTGAGAAAAGTCAACTTTCTTATAGAAATTTTTTTGTTTTGTGAAATTTGAAGTTACAGATAGTTGAAGACCGTGATTTTCACTCAAATTCACTCTTTTTTCTTCGAGATAAGGGATCGTTTTGCCTTTTCATTCAATGAACCAAAGCAATCAAAATGTTATAACAACACATCTGGAGGCTTGAGTCAAGATGCAATTACGGTTTGTCTCATAACTCTAAACCTATCCTATTCTGGTTTTGAATTTTGACACTAGATATTTCAAAGGATTTGCCATTAAAACTATGTCGGTAATCTTTTTGAGGTTGTACACATAGAAAAAGTTTATCAGTGTATCACATGCAACAACTTAGTTAACATTATTTCCTGATTATCACTCCCTACTTTCAACTTCCAGTAGAGAAATTTCACTAGAAAATTCACTTGAAATGTTTCACATAGCATTAAACTTGAAGTTCTTCAGCTTGTAATTGTGAATTTTGAAGACTCAGTTTTCGGTAAAAATAAAACTCGAGTATTGAGATAGAGTGGTTTTCCGGTATACCGGATATTGCTTATTACTAAAAAAATGCGCATTTCAATACTGATTCCAAATCTGTCCTTCGTATCCTTGAAAGTTAGTTCCAAGAAGAGTTACAAGAGTTTGTTGTTTCTAATGGATGTTCTCTCCAAGTTTTCCTGGATCCTTGCCAAAATCTTCTCCATAGCGCTCGCGCTTTTAATTATCTCCTAGAGCTACCGGCGGCGGCCTTTAGTTCCTCCTGCACGCATCCACATCAAACGTGCCTAAGCGCCTGTATTTATAGGAATGTTTTTGACAATGTCAAAGTCCTAGACAGTCACTAGACAGTGAAATCGGCTAATGTAAGGATATCCTGCAAGGACAGTGCGGAAAAATGCAGAATACAATGCGAATGTCAAAAGCTAAGTCAAGCAGACTTTTAGGGCAAATCGGTGGAAAGTACGTTGTTTCACAGCAGCTTACCAAGAATTCGTTATTCATGAGATATAAAGGTCATGAAAACTTGTACCGCATGAAGAAGGACGCAGAAAAGCGTTTTAGTCGAGTTGGCTTCATTCTCAATCCGGAAGTCGCGGATGTTGGTCGCATTAGTACCATTACTGTTAGCATGCCTTCCTGTCATTGATGGAAACAGCTTTTGGTCAGGTGAGAATTGCGGTCTCTTTTAGATCTTCTCCGTGAGGCTGTCTAACTCGCAAATGCTCAGATGCGCATATATTGTCTAGCTCCACTTTCTTTCATATTGACGCAGTTATCAAAAATTTAAGGTCAGCTCGTAACATGATCCAGAATCGCGTTCGGCCGCGCAGATGGAGCACGGTACCTACAAGGCTTATCAACTACAGTGTCGGGAGAACCATTTCCGCTCCCTTGCGGCCGCTTCCTGAACTCTGCAGAGGGCCCGGCACAGATGATTTGGGGTCAAATTGGACTTCGTTTGTGAAGTTAGAAGCAATGGGGATATCGTTTTATAAGGTCCTGGAGGAAGCGCCAAAAGACGACGAACATGTCAGGTTTGACGAGTTGAACGTGTTCTTTCGCAACGCGCTTTCAAACCAAGACTTAAACAAACAAATGACTTGTTTACAGCATACAAATAATCACATGGCTTCGAATTTGGGCTACGTGTGTACAATATTACCTCAAACTATGTTATGTAAGAAGTTTCGAAAACTTGTCCTATATCTGCTCCCGAATTTGTTGGTTTCTAGACCAACATCAAACCAACTGGGTTGGTATCAAACCAACTGGGTTGGTTTGGGGCATAAATATCGGAGAATTTACATAAGTTTTGGATCTTTTTGATCTGGACGATTAAAACGTTCAAAAATTTTTCATATGGTGAGAAGAGCAAATCAAACTATTGCCTCTCCCCTTTCTTCGAGCCAAAAGGATGGATTCTACGCGTTGATAGATATACTCCAGTATAGATATACTCCGCGCTCCAATCATACAGTCTGCCCCAATTCTAACCAGGCCAAAATTGGCTTGGCGGGAGTGCGCATCGCGAGAGTTTCGCGCCACTTCTGCGTCCTGCTCTCTCCTCAATCTCTTCGCTCTCTGCGACAGCGCGCGTATGCAGCGCAAACCCCTAGCGCTGCAAGCGCGCAAATTCAGCCAACGGTTCGGCCTGATCCCGATTGGGGAAGACTGTATGCGGTGTCCTTTGAACTATGTGGCGCGAAATGCATCGCTGCGCTTTTTTCGCTTTTTTATTGTTATTTTGGTTGAATAAGGGTTTCCCTACTAATTTTTACGTCAAGAGAAACTTCGTAAATTTTCGCGAAGTCATGGGGGACTTCGTTTCTGAAAAAGCACCAAACAACGCGTGCCGGACCCTGACTCTGCAACTCTTTCTTGAACATGCTCTCTATCACTTTTCCAGGATGCTGGAAAGGCGGAGCTTTATCGATTGGACATGAATGCGGGAGTGGAGATGCTGGTGCACCCGACACTGCAATTAAATCCTGTACAGTCGAGTAGATTTAGCAGTAAATATAGTGTGCTTGCACAGAAGGTGAAATGCGGTGAAATTTGCGCGTGAACAAGTAGCCACGTCAGTAGCGCGGGTATCTTGCGCGCGCAACTGGCCGGCGTCACAGTCGAAACTATTTCTTCACGCGCCAATTTTACCGCATTTCACCTTCTGTGCAAGCACACTATATTTACCGCTAAATCTACTCGAATGTACGTGGCTGTAATGGCGAACATGAAAACACGAAATTAAGGACCGGAACAGCTGGAAGCGGGACTAGCTGGATGCTTCTAGGAAGAAAGCAATGGGCATTACGTTTGTGCGTGGTGGAGGGCTGGGTCTTGAAAAAAAATTGCAGACAAATGCATCAGAATCGAAACCCATGGGAAATTGTCCTACACACATCCTCTCGTTTGCCTTTTTTGGTTTTTCGTAGTGCCTTTTTCATAAAAAGCCAGTTGGTCTGACAACTCGATGTCTACATTCGCGAGAGTGAACTTGTATCATAACCGAAAAATCTGTCATTACTCAACAACAAAGCGCTAAAGCCGTCTGTCTGTCCGTGTGCATATCTGTCTGTCACAGAATTCATAGGGATTTGCGTGATAGTTCTAGATCAAGGTCCTGAAACTCGGTCATGATAGTGACCGAAAATATTCAGATCTGCCTGGACGCTGCCTAAGAACGAGCGGGTCCGATACGGGCTCCTTCAAAAAATGGGAGCTGAACGGGTCCACACGGGTTTTGGCCCGCAGAACTGGGGTGGTAATCGATCTTTTTGCAAAATGATGAATTCGTTCGGAAAGCAAATCCGCGAGCCATTGTTTTCGCGATCTCAAAAAGTGATCAAAAATCTATTTTTCGCGAAAGCGGCTCCAAAAAAGAATCATCGCATAGATTGTTAATTTGTTGTCAATGTTTTAGTCAACCAACTGAGAAATTTATTGTTTAGAGATGTAGCCCACTATCATACCCTCGATACATAGAGCCACATACTCTGGTAACCCTCACTTTTAAGGCTATGAGGGGACACAACCCTCACCTGAAAAAAAAAAACAGAAGTTATCCGGGGCTTTGCCCTGGATGTTAATGTCCTGACTATATCGCAACGTATGTTTATGAAGCAAATATAGGGAACTAGCTGGCTTACCCGGCTCCGCCGTATCCGGACCAAACTTGGCACACATACACTTCGGGCCCCGGCGGGTGTCACAGTCCACTTTTCGTTATCGATCGATGTCGATTTTACCGATTTTTATGGATTTTTTTGCAGAGTTCACCTACAGGGCTAGGAGTTGGCACAGGGGGGGGAAGTGAGCATGGGGATTCCGAATACAATATTAGTTTTCAGAATTATCGATTACTTTTATTGATTTTATCGTTTTTTGTAAATTTTGACATGCGAGGCTGGGATTTTGCACAGGGGGGTAATCGAGCATGCTGATTCCGAATACAATATTGGTTTCCAGGATTATCGATTACTTTTATCGATTTTATCGATTTTTTTGCAAAGTTTGACCTGCGGGGCTGGGAGTTTGCACAGGGGGTAATCGAGCATGCAGATTACGAATACAATATTAGTTTTCAAGATCGTCCATTACTTTTATCGATTTTATCGATTTTTTGAAAATTTGAGCTAGGGGGCTGGAATTTGGCACAGGGGTGTAATCGAGCATGCTGATCACCCCCCTTGGGAATGATCAGCATGCTCGATTACCCCCCTGTGACAACTCCCAGCCCCCTAGCTCAAACTTTGCAAAAAAATCGATAAAATCGATAAAAGTAATCGATAATCCTGAAAACCAATATTGTATTCGGAATCCCCATGCTCGATTACCCCCCTGTGCCAACTCCCAGCCCCGTAGCTCAAACTTTGCAAAAAAATCGATAAAATCGATAAAAGTAATCGATAATCCTGGAAACCAATATTGTATTCGGAATCCCCATGCTCGATTACCCCCCTGTGCCAACTCCCAGCCCCGTAGGTGAACTCTGCAAAAAAATCGATAAAAATCGATAAAATCGATATCGATCGATGACGAAAAGTAGCCTATGACACCCGCCGGGGCCCGTAGTGTATGTGTGCCAAGTTTGGTCCGGATCGGTTCAGAAATGGAATTTTCTATTCGGAACATACGTACACACCAGTGGCGTACCCAGGATTTCGGCTCGGGGGGGGCGCGACAAAAAATTTTTTCTAAAGAAGGTGCGTGGCGTTAGCCACGCACTCCGAAAAATTTTTTGGGGTGCTTCTCAAAATTTTTCCGGGTCCCCGACCCCTAAAATCTGGAAAAAGGGGGCGTGGCGTCAGCCACGCCCCCGAAAAAAATTTTTTATAAGGCTAAAATGAATTTTTAAAAAATTTTAAAAATTATTTTAATTATTTACAAGTAAGAACAAGTCACTTGCACATTTTTATAACCCATGTAAGTAACTTTCAAAAATTTCGCGACCCGTTCTCGGGGGGGGGGGGCGCGCGCCCCCCCCGCCCCCCCCCCTCGGTACGCCACTGGTACACACAGACATACAGACAGACAGACAGACATACAGACAGACATACAGACAAACAGACATTCAGCTTTATATATAAGATAATAACTTTACCTTATTCCAGCAAAACCGAAAATTATGCGTCTTCATAGCCTTTTTTCCGTTAAAAAGAAGGTTTCTGTGGAATTTTCGCCAGAATTCAGGACAAAATTTCTCAGTTAACCTCTCATTAACCAAAATAGAAATCAGAAGTTTAGGAAAGCTGTTGGCTAAATAAAAACGAGAGAGTGCACTTAATTCTTGCACAGGGAATCGCGCAAGAAAACGCTGGTCTATCTCGTTAATAACTGATTTTCAAAGCCTGGGACGTTGTCAGTTCTCCTCGTCGTGTCATGACGATCAGAACATATATAACATTGCAGGGTTTCGCTAAGACCCCACGGAGATCTACGACCAGAGCCAAATGCCCCGTCGGCTCTAGCCTGTCTCCACTGCTCGTCTGCGTCTTCGCGCGCTGCGCGCTACCTCGCTACCCCCAACGCGGGGCGCGGGGCATTTGGCTCTGGTACCCTTTCCTTCGTTGTTTCAAACCCAATTTTAGCAAGCTATATATCGAATTGAAGCTCTTGATCTCTACATTCACCCTGACAACTTCCCAAGACCAAATTTTTTTGATTTGAACGAGAAATCAGGCAAAAACCTTGTTTTTGAAAATCTCTTGTTTTTTCTCCTAGTACTCTTTTCACGCGGTTTGGTGCATTCTATAAAACTTGCTTCTGTTCATAATGCAGGCAACCACCCAGCCCTTAATTCTTCGATTATGGTAGAAAATTTTGCGAAAACTCGTAAAAAGTGCATTTTTCTTTACCTTGTTCTGTTTCAATGCTTTCGCATCGATTTTTTTCCAGCTTGGGCGATTGTTGCTCAGAACAATAAGCGCAACAATCCAGACAACGTCCCAGGAAACAGGAACGTCAATGCGGGGAGAAAATCTGAAGGACGCATCAAAAATCAAAACCCCGTGTTGCGAGTTGCTGGTCCTGGAGCGAAAACTTGCACTCTGAAAAGCCGCCAAATGAAAGATTTTAAACCTTATTGCGGCGTTTTTATCCGGTTTAAAGCAGTTTCTTTTGCTTTTTATATCTATTTTACGTCATTTTCTCTTCTCTAATCTTCTTCAAACAACCTTCACTTTTGGCGCCCTGTCTCTAGACTATCGAAGGTATGCCCACTATGATTATCGTCTAGCAACTAGCAAGCCACAATAAATTCGGCGTCAATTCGTATTCGCTTAAAAGTTGCTCCTCCCAAAGTTATCAACCCTATACGGAAGAACTCAAGGAATGAGTAGTTGTTTACGAATCTTTCGTGGTGGTCAGCACTTTGCGGTAAGTCTCAAAGCGAGCATGTTGCGGGAATGAGAAGGAGAATAATACAGCCAGTGCGAACAGCAGAGGTGACGCACCTGGTGAAAACATATGTGAGTAAAAGCCGTGACCAACATCTTTCCGAACTAGCTGAAGTCCTTTACTCACATAATTTCTCAAAGCTTTTCTCCTAAATGGAGTCTGCACTTCAATTGTTTCCACTCAAAGGCAAACCGTTTCATTCTCTTGCCTCTGGGCTTTTATGCAGCCCTCAGAAAAGGGTGGAGGACTATATGTAACCGAATGTAGATGCCCGCGCGGTCTTGTTGCAAAAACGCATTTCCAGGCATGTGCAAAGGTGCGCATTTGTCGCAAATGACCGCGGGGACCGCCCCCTTTCGGCGACGTATAGTTCTCTAACGCTCAGAAAACTTTCATTAATATCGCAATCCGCTTCAATCGCAAAGCGCGCGCCTAGGCAAACCGACGCGCGAACCTTTCGTTTCCACCGATGTTGTTCTCTTTTCGGTTTCTTTCTCCAGTCTTTATCTATCAATTTCTATATCTTTCTTTTCTATTTTCATTGCAGACATCTGTCGATAACAAGATTTAGTTGTGAGATTTTCTGTTTCAAGGACAACAAATTTTTCTCACTCACTTTTACTCTTTTACTCATTCAATCCATGAAAAAGCCTTCGCTATTGCGCTATCAGTTTTATGAAGTTTTTTTGGTAGTGCTGTTAAATTTCTCTTACCATGATACTTCGGTGAGAGGCGAGGGAGGCGGGGGGGGGGGGAATGGTCATTAGAGGAAGGAAGTGAATAAGTGAAGAAGAGGTAGAGAGAAGGTGACGAATACTATACTGCTCAGACAATCGAAGGCGTACCTCCGAAGGGCAAATGGCGGGGGTCTGCCACTCGTGCTCCGGAACCCTCCCTTTTAACCCATTTTGGTGCTCCGGGGGCTCCTCCAAATCTGGCGCACCCCCGGAGCAGAGATTTGCGAGCCCCGGAGCACAAAATGGGTTAAAAAGGAGAACTCCGAGCACGAGTGGCAGACTCCCGCTGGGCAGAGCCCGGAACTTTCCCACGCTTCGGAGGTATGCCGTCGAATGTCTGAGGATGGAGTAAATCGCATCTAATGCATGCTGTAGGAGTAATACTATTTTCAAATTTCTGTGGAGATATTGATAAACGGAAGGCTCTAGGATTGAGCGATAGCCCAAGTATAAAAACCAGTAATAAGTAGTGAAGGGGCTCCAGAAAGGTTCAAAAGTTTGTAGAGCGAAAAATTAAGAGTGACTTCTTTGTTTCACTCGTGCCGGGCCCCGAACGAAATGCAAAAGAAAATATATTTGCACTTACTGTAAGCCACAGTTGTCTACAAATTTCCAGCGCTGACGAACGTAAGTCAAGTCAAACCAAAAGTGTTTTTAATAGAGACAGACTGTACGGCATACTGCCTTGGCTTAGGTTTAAAGAATGCACTCTAATATAATGCACCTTTTTTGAAGAATCGACAAAATTGCAGAGGTACCCTCTATTTTCGACCGAGAATGGTTGGATACTTACCGTTTCCGGACTGTGATGTGTTTCTTGATTACGAAATATTCTTAGTAGAGAAACTATGTATACGATGTGTACAGCTAAGACCCCGGGCATAATTCGTGCGTTTAGTCGCGACGCGACTTGGCAATGCTCCAATCGTCTTCAGTTTGCAAGTACATTCCATACGTTCGAAACATTGAGATACTAACAGTTTACGAAATTTGTACACACTATGCATGGGTATCCTGCCGCTGTTGGATATGGGAAAGAGGTGCGATGGGGGGAGCCGGGTTCACCAAAGTGAAGGTGGTCGGGCCCACCAAAAGTGAAGGTGGTCCCAGCTACCACTGGCTGCCCAAAGTGAAGGTGGTAGTGTCGGACACTCAACTTCCAAAAACGTCGACCGGGGAGGGGGGGGGAGTAGAACGAACGAACTGAGCTATTTTTCTAGGTCGAATTGTGACCCAACGGTCCTCTTCAGGGCCACAGATACGACGAAAACAGCAGCATAAATATTTGAAATAAACGTGTTTAGTAAATGGTGTGTTTTGAAGTGAAACTCAGCGAGACTTTACAGACTTTATTAAGTAGATTTTGTTATAACGTACTGCGAAGAAAGTAGGTCGATCCAGGGAATAACCGCCCAGAACCAGAATTTTGAATAATAAAGTAACGAAAAATCATGCGAAATATAAATCTGGTGTTTAAAGATGTCAGCAATTGCGACTTCATAGGCTTTGAAGAGTAAATGGTGCTCTATCAGACAGTGAAAAAATCGAGTCGATTTGAGAGATTCGCCGAAAACCAAAATTCTAAAAAATTACGCCATTTTAGTGTGTTTAGTGACGGCTGGCCGTTATATTCATATAAATCTTGAATGTGAAAGTGTTTGATGTTGCGACTACATAGCTTTTGTAGAGTAAGGTTTTCCTTATTAGAATACATCTTAACCGTACCGATCCATTGAAACAGCGCCGAGAGGGTCTTGAAAAAGCAGGTAAAAAAGCGCTTTTTGAACTTCAACAGTCTTAACTTCTTCAGAACTGCATGAATCACGTTGCGACGTCATAGGTTAGATTCTTCCTATCAAGAGCTTCCAGATGGTATACAACATGTGGAGAGTCGGTGCATTCGGCGACTTGTGCCCGACGGGGGAGACTTTTCATCACAAATTCACCCCCAGTCCACTTCAGTGTATTGGATCGAGGCCGCCAGGGGAGAATTTGTGATGAAAGGCCCCCCCCCCCCGGTTTAGGCCGCAAGAAGATCGAACCCCCACATATCATATATCATCTAAAAGTGAAGACGAGAAAGGAGTATCTAACCTATGAAGTCGCAACGTGATTTATGCAGTTCTGAAGAAATTATGAGCTGTTGAAGTTCAAAAAGCGCTTTTTACCTGCTTTTTCGAGACCCTGAATCTCGGCGCTGTTTGAATGGATCGGTACGGTCAAAAATATTTTGACAAGGCAACCTTACTCTACTAAAGCTATGAAGTTGCAACATCAAACACTTTCACATTCAAGATTTATATGAGTGTAACTGCCAGCTGTCATCAAACACGCTAAAATGGCGTAATTTTCTAGAATTTTGGTTTTCGGCGTCTATCTCTCAAATCGAATCGATTTTTTCACTGTCTGATAGAGCACCATTTACTCTTCAAAACCTATGAAGTCGTAATTGCTGACATCTTCAAACACCAGATTGATAACTGTGGAAATTTCGCATGATTTTTCGTTACTTTACTATTCAAAATTCTGGTTCCGGGTGGTTATTTCCTGGATCGAACTACTTTCTTCACAATACGGTATGACAAAATTCACTGAATAAAATCTGTACAGTCCAGTCAACTTTTACTTCCAACTGCACCATTCACTAAATACGTTTATTTTATATAAAAAAGTATTGAAAGCATATTTTGTGTATACGGCGGCATAAAATATATGCCGCCGTATACACAAAATATGCTTTCAATACTTTTTCGCGTTTGTTTTGCTTATTTTCCTTCTTTATCGTCCAGCGAAGAAATTTTTCATTCCAAAAGTGAAGGTGGTCACCCTGTACCAGCTCAAAACTGAAGGTAGGTGGAGAATCGGCTCCCACTATCGCATCTCTGAGTGCATACTCTATTCCTGCTATTCATAATATTTTTTAGAACAGCGTGCTAAAAGGGGGATAGAAAGCCTCTTGGAAAACTACACTTTTACAATTCGAGACGACTATGTCGACGAAAACATCACAGTGAGCTACTTGACCATATTTGTGCCGTAAGGCCCGGGCGCATAGCGCATGTGATTTCAGTTGCGACGCGACTTGGCAATACTCCAGTTGCTTATAACTCGTCATAAACTCAATTTACATGGACAATAGCATATTTAATCGACTTACAAAAGTTAAATACATCAAGCATTTGTGGTCTGGAGTGCTGGGAGGGGGAACCAACTCCGCCAGTTTGGACCGTCTCCGCGGATTACTGGTCCTGCAACGACATGCAACAAAACTGCGAAAGGACCAGATGCCAGCGAAGGCGGCCCAGACTGGCGGAGTTCGTTCCCCTACCCAGTGCTGGGTTTGAAGAGATCTGGCAAATGGCCAAAACGCGTGGGACTGAAATCACGAGAGGTATGCCCAAAGCCTGAAAAATAACTCAGGAAGGATGCTGTTTTCAGGCCTACTTCGAATTTGAATTGAGATATAACGCAGCAAAGAATGCTTTGCGAAAGAATCTCGGCTATACCGATGCGATGAAAACCAATCGTTTGGTTAGTTAAATATCCTTCAATATGAAAAAAGCACCTAGTACACTGACACCTAGACAACAAATATTTCAGATCAATGAAGAGCTGGACAAATTAAAGAAATCGAAAAATGAAACAAAGAAATCAAAAGAGGTTAGCTTCAGTTGCATTTTATGTTCTCTGTGAATGCTCAAAATGTTCTTTTATAGCCTATATCAAGCGAAGTTGTATTAAAAGGTCGTCAATCAATTTTTATGCCTTGTTTTACTCCACACACGAATTACGTACAAAGCTGTGATAGCGCTGGTTGCACAGGAGCTAAAGGTTAGAAATAGACAATTCAACTCAATCATCATAAATGCACCGTTTGAGCATTCGCCAGAACAGTCTGCTCCGAATTCTTAACATGCATGAGGAAAACACACACTTCTTACTGGATGTGCAAGCCAAAGTTCTCATTGCAGTTTTCTTCTGAGGACTTTTCCTTCTGTAAAAAGAAATTCTTTCAGGATTTGCTCGAAATTCAAGAAAATGCCGAAGCATCCTCGCTGTTATGATTACCTCTTCAAATGTGATTAAGAATGCTGACATTCGTATTATCACCAGTGTTTGGTTTCACTATCGTTAGCAAATTGTTTCTTGAAAATTATTAAATTGTGTAAAAGATTAGCAAAGGAATTAATTATGAGCAAACGCTAGACGCGAATGGACACAAAGGTTCAGTGCAAGAAAGCGAAAACCTTGATTGAAATGCTTGACTATTTGAAAAAAAAATGAAGTGGAAGCTTGAGCAAAATCTGGATGTTCTTGGGCGCGTCTCTGTGTCCCTGTTGATAGATCAGGGATTATCGATCGATAAGGCCTATGATAAATCAACGTTTTACCGAAAAGAACTGCTATACTTGCTCTTGACCAGAAGACCCTCTTGTTTTGCCTAGTTTACATTTGACTGTGGTTTCTTGATTCATATTATTATGGCGCAATTGCTTTGAAATGCATATATTAGGTTGATGCAAAAATAATGAGCGTTTTTATTTGCTTGCTTTAACAAAGCAACCAGACTCAACCCAACAAAGGTTAAGGGGTACTGTTCGATAGAGCAAAGCAAGCTCTACAAGATGGCACTCATGTCTTTGCGCCATGCTCGATCCACGGAGAGTTCGAACTCAAAAATTTCCAAATGCCCAAAAAATCGAAAAAAAATCAGATCTTCGTCCAAATAATTTCTACGGACCTCCTACTCGCTCATATCAATACTATCGACATCTGATATCCATATGTGCGATTGCCGTATTTTTCCCTTGACTAGAAACTGAGAAAGCGAAAATATCCCTGATTTTCTCAAAGCAATGCTGAGCCGTTTTTGCATATGTAGTTCTATACTACAAGCCTATGTAAGCATAACTGTAGGTTTTTAGCCTAATTCGAGTGGTTTTCGAGAAATGTCGATATTAGCACTGAAACTGAAACGAAAAAATCCGATTTCGTTATTTTTCGAAAACTACCGCTTGGAATGGGCTGAAAATCTACAGTTATGCTTACCTAGGCTTGTAGTATGAAACTACATATGCAAAAACGGCTCAGCATTGCTTTGAGAAAATCAGGGATATTTTCGCTTTCTCAGTTTCTAGTCAAGGAAAAAATACGGCAATCGCACATATGGATATCAGATGTCGATAGTATTGATGTGAGCGAGTAGGAAATCCGTAGAAATTATTTGGACGAAGATCTATTTTTTTTCGATTTTTTGGGCATTTGGAAATCTTCAGATTTTGAGTTCGAACTCTCCGTGGATCGAGCATGGCGCAAAGACATGAGGGCCACCTTGTAGAGCTTGCTTTGCTCTATCGAAGAGTACCCCTTAACCTTTGTTGGGTTGAGTCTGGTTGCTTTGTTAAAGCAAGCAAATAAAAACGCTCATTATTTTTGCATCAACCTAATATTTGTTCGGCACTAAAACGCCTCACAGGATCAGCGTAATCACATTCTCGATCCATGCTAGGTATCCATCTGAGCTCAACTTGACAAGAAGGGAAGTTCTGTTGTGGAGTTTCCTTTTTCATGTTCTCTCCTCTTTAGTCAATTTCTTCTAAATGCTCTGCTGTCGAAGATAGAAACGTTCCCATATATGGCACGGGTTCATCAAGATTGAAAACGCTTCTTTTCTCTATGTGTTTTGGCACCACTATCTTCACTCCGTAGTCGCGATGAGTTGTGGAGTCATAGACACATTTTTGAAGAAGATCTCGAAATTTTTCGACTTGACGAGGACCTCGAGTTTTTCCGTCTGCAAAAAAGCATATTTTATTCCGATTTAAGGCTTTAAAGAAAAAAACTATCGCCGACTTAGCAAGTTCTCCATAGGTTTTTCGGTCCTTCCCCGAGATTGGGCCAGTAGCGTGAGTATTAGAAGTACGGCGGCAATCCGCATCGTTTTCATCTGCGATGCTGGGGCGTTCTGAACTTTTCACGCACCTAAAATAAAGAATTGACTGATTCTCTTGCGAGCATCCTAGGCATCGACGAGATGTACAGTCGAGCAGATTTTTTGCTCATAACTAGTTAACCAGTAATTTAAAGCTAGATTTGCAGGCGCTCGCTGCGGGAGCCGCGCGGTTTTCCGCATTTTCACCTTTTGTAAGTGAGCACAACGCTACTTCGTATATAGATGTGTGCTTGCACTCCACCTAAGACAAGTTTGCGCATGAATATATAGCTACTACTGGGACGCCGACCAATTGCGCGCACAAAATGCCAGCATCGCTGGCGTGGCTATTTGTTCACGCGCAAATTTTACCGCATTTCACCTGCAGTGCGAGCGCACAACGCCTGGGAAAACAGATACACTTGGAGGAAGCTAGGTGATGGTTTTGAGAAGGTAAATCTACCATGACTAATAATAAAGTGCTAAGCTTCTGTTTGAGCTTGTGTCACTGGGAGGAAGCTAGGTGATGATTTTAAGAAGGTAAATCTACCATGACCAATAATGATGCGCTAAGCTTCTGTCTGTTTGTCTGTCTGTATGTATGTCTGTCACGAAATTCATATAGCGAGGTGCGACCAACATTTTGAGCCAAAGTTTTTGTCATAGCACCCTGTCAGCATGTAGATAAACTGTGCAAAAGCACAAGTCGATCCAAAAAGTGAAACCAACAAAAACTGTGCGTCAAACGGATCCACGCGATTTTTGCCCACCAAAATGGGGGGCGGTAATTAAACTTTTCGCATAGTCGTGGACTTGTTCAACGAGTAAATCCGAGAAATCCATTATCTTCAGCCTAAAAGCAGGCAAAAAGTCTATTTTTACACAAAATCTGCGTCAAAGGAGTGTAACTGCGCAAATTGTCAGCTCGCTAAGTTTGTACATTGAAAAGTGGAAGGATTTCTGAAGAGAGATGTGGTCCAAGGTGATTGTTATCCTTGTAGCAACTATAAAGCCAAAATAATTCCAGTAACCCATTCAAAATGGCATTTGTTCCTGCGGGAAAATTTTTTTCTCTCAAAATTACTGTATACGGAGAAGCTCTGATGAACGTTGTTTACGTGATGATCGGCATCGCGCGGTGAGTTTCAAAATCATTAATATGCGATCACGATGAAGGCGTACGGATAGTAGAGAGCCAGTGCGAACCTCTGCGAAGCAGAAGTGAAGCACTGATATATATCAGTGGCGTACCGAGGGGGGGGGGAATGGGTCGCGAAATTTTTGAAAGTTACTTACATGAGCTATAAAAATGTGCAAAAGACTTATTTATACTTGTAAGTAATTAAAATAATTTTTAAAAATTTTTAAAAATTCAATTTAGCCTTATAAAAAAATTAAATTAAAAATTAAAAAATTAAAAGTACCAAAATTTTTTTCTGAGTGCGCGGCTAACGCCGCGCACCTTCATCGGAAAATTTTTTTTGTCGCGCCCCCCCCCCCCCGAGCCGAAATCCTGGGTACGCCACTGATATATATATATATATATATATATATATTAGGTCATTTCAAAAGTTCGTTCGCCAGTTTTTTAAAATATCATAACTTCCTTCCTTCTCGGTGGAATTTCATGTTTTAATTTTTGTTTGAAAGAAGAAACCTTTCTCTTTACAATATTGTCTTTGCCATGAAATAGCGTGACAAAGTTCGAGAGCTAGAAGCAATTGAATAAATTTACTCAAGATTGGCATTTTTTAAGCTGGATCACGAAAATTTCCGAAAGTGTTATTATTTGATAGAGAAAATTATGCTCTTTACTGTAGTGCCTTTTCCACGAATTGAAACGAAAAAGATCGAAAGTTACAAGCAAATAAAGAGAATTACTTCAGTTTTGCAATTATTGAGCATGCCCAAAAAGGCCCAAAAACGTCACAAAAAAGGCGGAAAAGTTAAGAACAGGGGTTTTGTGACCTTCTCTTTCTAGCTAAAGGATTTTTGTGCTGAGGGAGAGCGATTTTGATTTTCATGGATAACGTATAGCAAATTCCTAAAAAATCATTACTTTTCATAGGAACAGTTGTTCAGCAAGAAATTTGCCTAGCTAGAAAGACGAGAACAGAGAACATAAGTTTGTGTTTGTTTCGGTATTTTTTGTAACGTTTTAAGATTTTTTAATGAGCTTCTTTAAAATTACCAAAGTTTGAGTGTTCTTATTTCTGCATTTTTAACTCCGCGACTTGTGCTTGGTAGAACGATTTAAGTTACGCTTAGAAACTACATGATCTCTTTATTTTAGAAAAAATTATCTCAGGCAAATCTAGGCAGATAGCAGGGAGTTACGATTTTTTAGAAAACAATGCGAATGAACTTTTGAAATGACCTAATATATTAGGTTGGCACGAAAGTTCTTGCGTAATTCAAACAAAATTCAATAACTTTCCAAAGACTTAACCTAAATTCACAATCTTGTATGCTAAAAAAATTGGAAGTCTTACGCTTCATAATGGATGTTTAAGCGTAAGATTCCGTGAGCTGGACATCAAGAACGAAGCTCTCGAATATGGGGCTTCAAATTTCGCGATTTTGAGTTTGGTGCCAGAAAATCGCAGAGTGCCGCTAGCTATCCGAAAAAAATTTGCAGAATTTAGTTACACAACAAAAGTCCATATGTAACTTTGGAAGGCTTTGATCTTGCACGGTGAAGCAAAAACAAAAAATTCGTGAAATAAGTCATTTTGTGGAAAAAATCCCCTCATGTCCGCAGTTTTCCGGCGAAAACACTTTTTTTACAATCGAGAAAACGTCGCAAGGCTCTATATAAGCACTATGTCTAATTTCTGGTTGCAAACTGTGTTTCTGTGGAAAAGTTAGTGCGATGAGGGGATTTGTCCTGTGAAATGAGAATTTTCACAAATTTTTTGTTTTCGCGTTTCCATGCGAGATCAAAGCCTGCTAAAACAACGTATGGACTTTTGCTGTGTAAGTAAATTCTACAGATTTTTTTCGGCTAGCTAGCGGCACTCTGCGATTTTCTGGCACCAAACTCAAAATCGCAAAATTTGAAGCGCCTTATTCGAGAGCTTCGTTCTTGATGTCCAGCTCACGGAATCTTACGCTTAAACATCCATTATGAAGCGTAAGACTTCCAATTTTTTTAGCATACAAGATTGTGAATTTAGGTTAAGTCTTTGGAAAGTTATTGAATTTTGTTTGAATTACGCAATAACTTTCGTGCCAACCTAATATATATATATATATATATATATATATATATATATATATATATATATATATATATATATATATATATATATATATATATATATATATATATATATATATAAGGTCATTCCGAAAGTAATTTCGCTTTTTTCAAACGGGCGCCACATCTGATGGAACAAAGATTTCCAAGAGGTCTTGGAAGCATTCGATGCAGCATTTCATTCTCTTTCTAATGGTTATGGAATTGTTGCAAAACAGTCAATGAGCTTTCAGAAAATAACCAAAATCTGCGACCCATGCTTTTTGACATGGTCAAGTTTCACGATTTTTTAAACCTTTCATATCAATCCTCAGAGGAAGTTCAAGTAAGGATTCAATAGAGTAAACCTCACAGAATACAGTACTACTTTTTTCCCTTTCTCGTAGCTCGTCCTAATTTTTTAAAAGATTTTTTAACAGAACCATCGGATTTTGGCAGGCCCACCTCAACCACAATCACATCAAACATCACAATTTTTCGGAATTTGAGACTACCAAGATGGTGCTATGAGTTAACATTAATTTTACAAAGCAAGTGAGGGTTTACGGGTTCGAAGTATCAAATTTCGA